ATCGATAAACTCATTCCCGCTTACGCCTCCTCGTCACCCTAAGGACTGACTGTTGTCCTTTCCTCTGCTCCCCCTCCCCTTTGACCACATCTCACTGGCTTTCATGAACATGAAATAACATTAACTGCCATGCTGTGAAAACTATCCTTCTCTTCTACCTTCTCTCCATGCTCGCAGCTCTAAAAAAGATGGTTTCTACTCTATTTACCTATCAGGTTTCAGTCCTCTAGGTCGACATGTAATTGGACAGTTAATTTATCTAATTAGTAGGCAATGGCCGTTTGCAATTGAATAAGAGGACGCAAAATTATATGACGTCAGTAAATTCTGCTAATTGCGTAATCTTCGCCTTATCTGATTTTAGTCAGCGTTGGGCGCATGTTCGTGCAGGCCATGGGCAGTTCAGCCTGATGATTGGGTGAGCCGTTCGGTTATTGACATGACTCATGCAAATGTCGTTTTATTTGGCCCGCTGACCTTGACACATGGTGCTTGCTTCGAACGTGGCAGAATCCTATTGCTGCTAGCTAGATACATATGCGTCCCGGTTTCGGATATATTAAATTAGCAGATGTGAACAGGCATCCTGTAAGTGGGGAACATGTTAACCCTTTATAAGACTCATACGCTTCTAGTTACTGGCTTACGAAATACTATTTTCTCATTGAGTGGCTTGACTGCAGCCGAGGGAACGGTTTTCTCACAGGACTGGAGAAAACCTGAATCAGTTAAAAATAACTACTGACTGCCAAATTAGATAACTTACGATACAGGGGTTTAAGGCTTTCCTGATTCGCATCTGTTGTCCAAAATACAAGTCTAATGATGAGGACGATGAGGCTCTTTTGAAGACCATTCCAATGAGAATAAAATGACTGCGATTTTTCTCGTGATATTGGTGGTGGTGGTGATGACCTTGATAATTATGTGAAATAAATAAAACGGAAAAATATAAAGTGCGGCCCAGGTCTTTTTTTTTCTATTCATCAACGTGTCAGCATACCTCGTGTCAAGTTCCAGATAGCTATTTTGTAGAGCTCGTTCTTTGGAAAGTCTGTTTGTGGTCGCGAGTAAAGTCGATACTTGCAATGAAAGCCCACCCGAAGTAACAAATTCTGTGTTTTCATCCAGTTGAACCTGCAAAAGCCATCTTGTCGCCTCCTTCATCAACATTAGTGGTATCATGGGCGTCCAGGTGTAGGCGACTTCATTGCCATTGATGCGAGCAAAAATGGCTGGTGTGTGGTGTTCCATCGTAATCTTAACAGGAGAAGAGGTAAGGAATACTGATAAGGATTTAATTACCCGGCAGGGCTAGATAAGTAAACTTAGTGAACTACTACACGCATTTTAGTAGGCGCAGTTCTGCTTATTACTGACCCCCACGTGGAAATAGTTAGCTTCCTGCAGTTAATTTTAGATTGATAAGTTTATTTATTAGGTTATTTTTTTTAGCCTACTGGCTTAATCTGAGTTATAGTTTTAGTTTAAGATTTAATTTAATTTAATTTTTAAAGCGATATATAGTTGCTTTCTGGCTTAAAATATCTGTCAAAATACATAAATGGGGGAAAAGCCTATCTTTCGTGGTTGCATTTGAACCTCTAAATTGTGATATAGAGTCGATAGAGGTGTGTATCCAATTAGCAAGTACTTCTGCTCAGTTCTTTTTTCCTGCTGATTTTACGTTTAAGTTATCACACATTAAACATTTTTCTACTTATTGTTTTTTTATTTTTCTACTTTTAGACGTTCTACTTTAAATTTCCTTTTCTATCTTTCCCCAACCGTAAAAGCCCTATTACCATCGGTCTCTTAAGGCAAACTCCTGCTTTCAAAGATATCTAAGGTTGTCAGCGGACTTTATTGGTGTTTGTGCTATAAAACCTTGTGAAAACGGAGTCCTACAAACTTTGAATAGACCTCTCTTGCGCAGTTTTGCTGAGAGGTGGATATAAATCAGCGCGACATATAATGCGAGCAGAGGTTTTGGTTCGAAAACTTACGATGTTGTCGTGTTGATTTATCTTCTCCCAGCTGTTCTGAAATGTTGATCTTGAAGGCAACTCCCATAAGCTTTGGGAGGAGAGAGGTGTAAGCAGTAGGTGTCTATAGCCGACCTCGAGTAGGTTGAATTCGCGCCCTTTCACATTCATGTTGAAGTTTAGGCTAGCGTACCGAAAACCCGGGGACACAGATCCGGCGATTGTGACAGCCTCCACTTTTCCAGCCATCTGCGTCAAAGAAAAAACCTGCGGTTGAGACAAACGTACTGGTTTTCTGTTTTGTGATTACGGAAGAACCACCAGTCCCGGTGAGTTGAAAAGGTTCTAAATTGCACCCTTTATGCTGAAAGTTTACCATATGCAAGCAATGATTATGGCGTATGACGTATTGCCTTCGAAAATAAAATCCCCACACAGAGAGGTATAGGTGCACCCCCTTCATTTCTGCTGTCAGTTTTTTTAAATGATTCTCCGTTAAATCGAATGCCATCAGTCTAATGAGTTACATCATGGAATTAACCAAAGTATAAAGCGCCGTTAAGTGGACACACAATTTTGCCCAATTTGAGGCCCGTAATTGGGACCAAAACTTACTTTGAAGAATACTGATACTCCTGATGGGCAGCTTCTAGGATGGGTTTTTAATCAAAGCCTGATAGTGTGGAGGAGATTGAAAAATGCCTTTTTTCCGATTCCCTTCCTCCCATTTGAGCCTGCATGAACGATCTTTGCAGCAGTGATGAGCTGCTAGACAAAGTCGGTATTCTGAAAAATACTTTGATAAGCCGGACAGCAACTTCAAGTTCTCGAATTCTCCCCTTAGCAAATTTGGGTAGCGATTCACCGTGGGACCACCAAATTGTAAAAGACCCCTAGGCAATCGTGGTAATAGGAATAATGCTTGACTAAGGAGTAAAAAATGCGTGTTTAATGCGTAGCAAGTGAACAGTAATAAGTAAATTAAAACCGCTGGTAATTGTTTCAGTAAGCTTTATATATACGTGAAAAGTATCAGGAGAGAATTTAATCGACCAACAGCCAACGCCCTGCACCCCGTTCTAATAACTAAGTGTACCTGTTAGTCATCTAGATGATTCTGGATTGATTGCTTAGGACACGCTACCTGGGCAGTCACCTCTCTGTACAAGTATTGGTGGATTCCACACGTTTTCTGTGCTGGACGGATACATCGAGCTAGGCGGGATTAAATTCACGGCTCCCCGCGAACATCGTAGCTTAGTTGCCAGAGTATCGGCCTTAATATAGCGGTCCCTTGTTGGTGTGGGTTTGAATCCGACCGAACTATCTCGCGACCTATTCACAATTGGGTCGATTGAATTATTCTGTTTAAATTTATTAATGACCAATTGTTCTGACAACATGCGACTTCATTTAGAAGTTTATGCCTGTAACGCCGTTATAAAACAATAAAACAGCAGAAAACAGCCAATTCTCGTGAAACTGTGTTGGAATGAGCATTCACACGCTAGGATGTTTTTTAGGAGCCATATTATACATACAGTGAAATCTCGGTTAACGAGTTTACTCCGTTCCGGCACCAAGCTCGTCGTATGAGGAACTCGTCTTGCGAAACGTAGCCAAACAAACTACATTAGTTCACTGATTCGCTGCAGGCCACCGAGGATCCACGCCTTGGGAGCAAGACTTAACGGCGACAACAGGCATACACACTGACAACTCGTGAACTGAACGGCAACTCGTCAATCGAAACAGGTTTTCTACTACTGTTTCGTTCGTTACCTGAAATGCTCCTAGATGGGGCTGCTCGTCGACTAATTCTTCACTGTGTCCTTGTGGGTTCTTTGACTGCAAACTTCGATGAAGTGCTATTTTCAAAAGTTATACTACGAATCCGCAGATCTATTACTCGCCTTCTATAGGGATAGTCTTTCTGTGCATTTCAAATTTAAATTGACGGTTTTTTAAATTTTCCGTTTTCCTAAGAAGTTTAAAATTACTTTTATTGTTTTTTATCTTTTCAGTTTGCATACAGTCATTCATTATTGTTTAAAAAGTTTTAATTCATTCGTTGGTACCGTTTTGTGAGTGTTTAGTAATGTTTCGTTAATTTCGGGTTCTGCATGAAATACTGTAGATCATAATATGCCTGTGGCATCATGGTTTTGGTTAGTTCCTTACATTGCTTCCGATGATGTGTTCGAGGAAGAGTCCGAAACGTCAGACCAATCAGCTGCCAGTTCCGGCAATCGCATCCTGCTTTTCTAATCTGCTTCCCGGAACTGGCCTACTCACTCATGTCAGCAAACCTTAGGATCTTGGGTATTTGACATTTAAAAAGTCCTCTGACTTCGTGAGTAATTCGCCTAATCTAAACGAGTTTTCTTGCACTTACAAAAGAGATTGGAAAAAAATGTATGTGCTACTCCTGAGTGTTTCTAAAAAATCTAAAAAGGGTTTTAAATCGTTTATTTGTCTCAACTGATTAAAAGAAGTTACCACTCATACCTTTTCGCCTGTGAAGGTTTCTGCAAGGTAACCGGAATATCGTCTCAAGTCCATTGGTATCCATTTGAATAAGTTGCCGAATAATGAAAGGAATTCGTTTCGATTCATTTTTACATTATGCCTTTTGGAGAGGTCGTCCGATTTCAAGAGGCTTTGAAGGTGTTGGGCGACAAATGACCTCAACTGAAACGAAAAAGACTGTTGTCTTGGACATCCTTGAACAAATGTTCCTGGCAAGCGTTCAGGTTAAAAACAAATTTGGCATAGTAACAGTAATCTTCTTGCGTACCAAAAAGTGACAATGAAAAACTCTTTAATTCGTTCTAGTTTCTGTTCAAGGTAAGCGAGAATTTACCGTGAAAATGATCACGAAAATTTTGACCGCAACCACGCAGACCACAAGAGAATAAAGATCATTTGACTCCTTTTTACGAACAATTTCCTTCCCAGGTATTGATTTTTGCATCATGAAATTGACACTAGCCTGCGAGGACACCATCTCAACTTACCTGTAACCGGCGCAAGACTTGATCCAAGCCAATTATTTTTCCCCAACATAGTAATTCAGGCATCGAATGTTCTGCCTGTGAACATTGGCATGTCCTTATCCGTGGATATCTTTTAGAAGAGGTTCGACCAGCACAGACTTACCTGCCAGCACGTCACCTAAAACAACCATGAGCTTCTCTGGAACCAAAAATTTACAGCCTACAAACATGCTACTAGGTATTTTTCAGTAACACTCGAAGTATTTCTCATCATACATAGTCCAATAACTTCGCGCTGCCTCCTCACTATGCGAACTGAAACGATCGTGTCGGCAATCGCCTCTACCGCAACCGTGGTTCTAGGCTACCCGGCGTTTTAACGTTCTTCCTCAACTCGACCTGAAGCCGACTGCTGACGACCGTGGGGGTTCCACTGTTTTCGTCACATTATTTGCAGACACGGCAAACAGCAAGGCCGTATCATGGTCGCATCTCCGGCTCTTCGGTAGGTCCTCGTGACTCTGCGGTCTTCTCCTCGTGTAACCCTTCGGAGAAAGGTAAGGACGCAAACATTATCAGTAGTATGCCGGTCCTATCTTGCCTATACTTTACTCCCACGAGCGAAAGTTTTCTTCTAAAAATCCCATAAATGACGTTCCAGCTTTTGAATTCTGAGCCATGCCTTACGAGTTTTTTTTCAATTTCTCCCCTTTTTGCTCAGTTACATTTGCTGGCTCACGCTAACTGGCATCACCACGTGTGATTGTATTGCGTCAAACAAGAGTGTAGTCGCCTACAAGTATGTAAACGACATCCTTTGAAATGTTCTGTGCTACCGATGCATTTCTTCACTACTGTGTATCAATAGGGAGTTCAATGGCGTTTGCCTTAATAAATTTTGACTTGCCTGCCTCTGAAAAATTCAATTGGTTCGGAATGGTAATTGAAAATAACAACGCAATGGCGCTGTACATCGAGAGTGTTTCCCGTGTATTGGCTGTATATCCGGTTACCACTACCACTGCTACTCTTGACATCATCCGAATTATTTAAACTACTCAACTAGCCAGGTCTTATAACATCAAAAACGGCAATTTTCCTTAATTGCTGAATACGGTATAAGAGAAGCAGATACCCGCGTTTATGTTTCATAATGGAGATATTCCATTCAATTTTTTACTCCAGATAGATTCCTTTTCCTTCCGCTTCATACCTCCATACGTTGTAATTACATTTTTTAAATGTTCCCAGTCACCTTAGATTTAGGAAATGATCCGATCAAAGGTCCTACTGGCAAGGGCTATGCAAAAGGTTGTTGAAAGCAAATGCTTAATCTGCGCCGCAAAAAAGATGCAGCCTTACTCTATATTTTAAGTAGACTAACCTGCTGGCTTTCATCCCTCCTCATCAGATCTGCCAGAGCTTTTAATTTTTCAGTCGTCAAGCACCTCGCCCAGGTCCGGTATGCCTGTATTCTTACCTCCCAGTCCTCGGAAGCGTCACTCATGCTCTCCATGAGAATGGTCTAAAATGGAAATGAGCCTATTAGAAGTGCGCAAATACAAGTGTCGAAAGGGTTAGCTTCAGTGGATCAGTCGCTAGAATTCCTGATAACTGAAGGCGTGCGCAATGGAATCTATTTGAGGAATTTCGCGATTGGCTGGCAGTGACCTTCCAACTTCGGCGCCGCGTGATTGCAAATCTCGAAATGTTTCCGTGGAAAGCCAATATCAGGTACCGAAAACTGCGCCAACGTTCAACCTCCTGCGTCTGGCGGCAACAATCATGAGCGCGCATGCAGGCCGACTCAATACGTCTGGCCAATTACGTTCAAGGCTGAGTTACACAAGACGAACTCTTTAGACACTGTGACGTCTGCTAAATCCAGACACTTCGGAACTGGCTCCTCCGCGGTCAGACGCGCACTCGTCCGACAATCATTTTCCTTCTACCTATTCTCCACTACTTCTGTATAGAATAAACTTTCTCTTCCATCTGGCGTCTCATTTCTTCTCTTTCCATATTAAAAGGGACCGGAAGATCACAGCAGCAAGAGGTTTCCCTATGAAACCAACCTAATGCGATAGCTTAACTAGGTCGTTGTTCGCGGCTTTAGAGTAGTCGCCGACATTCACGCAACATGTCGACATATGTGAAAGATTGATACCCTTTTGCTAAACGGCGTTGACTCATGTTGTGATACTGATTATCGTGAAGTCTATTCTGAAGTCATTTCAGTCATAATAGCATGCG